TGAGATCGCACCATTGCACTTCAGCCTGGGAAACGAGCCAAACTCCATCTCAAAAAAAAAAAAAGTATGGGCTGGAAAGAGGCTGGGTCCAGCCCCCAGCCTCAACAGCCCCATCTGTTCTATGGATCGGGTGACCGAGGACCCCAGAGGCCTCCCCATCTGACATCCTGTGTGGCTGGTAAGTTCCCTTCCCAACATAGGCCTCCTGCCTCTCCCTGCCGTCTCCCTAAGCACCCCTCCCTAGAGGACACCATCCCTCTTGCCCCAGACCCCACCTGTCTCCCCCCACATCTCCTGTCGTCTAGAAAAGGGACACATCTGTATAAACTTTTTAGAAAACGAAGTCTTGTTACAAAAAACAGTTCTGAACAGTTAACATTGTAAAAGTATAAAAATACAGGGACTCTGAGCACTGAGAAATTTCCTGACACACACTCTGAACTAAGGCGGAGAGATCTCTGGGAAGCTGGAATCAGGGCCTGGGCCTGCTCCCCCTCCTCTTTCCCATGAGCTCATGCTCCAGAGCTGACCAGAGAAAAGGGCTCTCCCCAACCCTGGCTATGGCTCAGCCTCTAAAGGAGGACCCTGTAAGATCTGCAGTGGCTTGTCCTGGAAGAGGGGGCTGGAATGAGGTGGGCCCCGCTGGATGCCGGGAAGCCTCTAGGCCTGGAGCTGGAGTACCTCTCCTCAGCCCTGATGAGAAGTGGAACACCTTCTCATCCCACCCCGGCTGGGGGCCCCCAAGGGACCAGGTTTGGGGGTGCTGTCCAAAAGGAGGGCCCTCCCCTGTCCCGGGCACAGGGCTGTTCTCTAGATGCCAACAGAGGCTCATTTCTCTGGGGGGCCGGAGGGCGGGGAGAAGGGTGCTGAGCTCCTTCGAAGCTCCTGCTGCAACTGTCCCTTCAGTGTGGACACCTGGGGAAGAAAGAGAAGGTGAGGATAGCCGGTACTCAGCCTGGCTTCAGAGAAAGGGAGGCAGCCGGGAACCTGGAGGGACCCAGTGCCACAGTTTCAGGAAAGGTCTGGCCTCGCTGAGAGCCAGGGGCTGCCCTCATTTTATTTCTTACAGCAGTCAGGTGTCTTCTGACTGTTCCGAGCCTTTGAGAACTCCACACCCATTCTTTATCCCCATCATCACGAGTAGGCGTGGCTCCAGCCCAGACCCAAGGGGTGGACATGTGACCTAGTCTGGCCCAGCAGAGCAGCATTGCCTGGCAGACAAGGCTGGCTCAGGTATAGTCAGGAAGGGGCATGTGATCTGAGCGGGCCAGTGAGGGACAGGCCTGGGCTTCTGCAGCCGCTCTCCTCTGGGATGACAGGTTGCTGGGAGAACCGGAGGCTGGAGCTGCTGAGGCCATGTGGCCTCCCATGGAGAAGGCTGCCCTGATGGAGCTAGGGGAGCAGAGTCTAGCAGGAAGGCCTGGGGCCCAGGAGCATCCCGTGGCCCCTGGTCTAGTCTTGGGCGATACCAGCACAGAGCCAACCACACTCTTTTTGGCTATGGGAGCCATCAACTGCCTATACCCACGAGGTCTTGACTGGCCCCCTCCTCTTCCTCCAGCCCCACACATCCATCCTGGCCCAGCCTTCTGAGGGGGCCTTCTACCTGCTCCTCCAGCCCGCACACCCTCTGGCGGTGGGCCCGCTCTCGTGCCTCCAGGGTGCGCTCGGTCTGCGCCTGGGCACTGCGCAGGCGCTCCACCTCCCGCTGCAGCTCCAGCTGCTGCTGCTGTGCGTCCACCTCCAGCTGGGCTGGGCTGTGGCTCTGCTCCAGCGCCACCACCTGTGCCTGCAGGGAGGTGCTGCAGTCAGGGTACCAGCCCAGTGTGAGTTTGTGTGTGCATGTGTGACAGGTTGTCAGGTACATCCCTGGGACACGGCCAGTGCAGAGGGAGAAGGCAGGAGAGATCCTTGTATTTCCTCCATCCTGCCGGCCCTGACAGTGAGCCTGTGAGCCCAGGGTGAGTGCACTCAAGGACCCCCACTCAGGCAGGTATGTGCGCACAAACACACACGCACACACACACTCTCTCTCAGATGTCATACACACAGGCACAAAGGCAAGCATGTAAATACCTACTGGGTTCGCACAGGTGTGTGTGTGTGCACAAAGGCCCAGCTCCCACATACATGAAAACATCTGTACACAGACCCATATTCACAATACCCAGACACGCCACACCGTGTGCAAGATTCATGCTCCATACACAAGAATGCTCACATGGATTCCCACTCTGCTGCATGTTCACAACATACATGAGCCCACAGGCTCACATGCAAACAGGCCTTCAGTGTCTGCTGTACACCTTAGGGAGAACCCCTCCTTCCATGGCCCGCTGGGTCACCCGGAAGGCTCAGGGCTCCTGGGGGAGGGGGTTGTGGGCCCTGGGCTGGTTGGGCTAGGCTCCACCAGGATTGATAAGCACTCAGACCAGGGATGAAGCTGGGGTCCCGGGCTGGGTGGGGTCAAACCTCCAGCTGCTGGATCTGCCTCTGTGCCTCGGCCAGCTCCAGCTCGGCCCCTGTGAGGGTGCGATCCAGGCGGCCCTTCTCTGCGCTCAGCCGCACTGTGTCTTCATGGCTGCGAAGCTTCTCCCGCTCCACCTAAGTGGGAGGGAGAGCCGGAGATCAGGGTGCCAGGAGGGGCTTACCGAGGGGGCTCAGGGTCCTGAACCCCAGTGGAATAACCTAACCCCACCAGAGGCAGCAGACCTTGGGGATGTGCAGTGGGACTCACCATGGCTAGGTCCCAGAGGAAGTGAGGGGAGCCCCGGGGAGCAGCCCACCTTGTCCAGCGTCCTCCTGAGGGCTAGGCGGTCCTTCTCCAGACGCAGGGCTGAGCGCTCCACCTCCCGCTTCTCGGCTTCCAGCTGAGCCAGGGCGCGCTGCAGGCTGCCCAGACGCTCCTGCAGCAGCCGCCGCTCGTCCTGCAGCTTCTGGACTGTGTGCAGGGCTGCAGCCTCGCCCTCCTGCCGCTGCCGCAGCACCTGCAACAGAAGCCAGGCAGGCCCCAAATCCCTCTGGGCCTGAGCGTACTTATCTGAAGGCTGGAGAGAGTGAGGCTGGCCCGATCACAGAACAGCAACTGTGAGGCCCATATCAGAGAACTGTCACCTGAAGCCAGATGGTTCTCTCTTAGCCTCAGTCTCTCCATCTGCATAACAGGACTATGCGATGAATGAACCATGCTTCCTGACTGGAGGCTGCGCCAGGGTTTGGGATGAGGTTGAGATGGGTGGGAGCGTCCCCACCCTAGTCCAGTGCCTCACAGTCTTGGGGACAGAGGGGGTGCACCCTGGCCCTCACCTCCCGTAGCTGTTGTAGCTGGCCCTCGGCCTCCACCCGCTGCAGCTCCAGGTCAGCCACCTCGCCTCGCAACGTCTGCACCTGCTCACCCAGGGAGCTGCTCTGCTTCCGCGCCTCAGACAACGCCTGCCGGGCAGCATCCAGCCGTTCCTGGGGGACAGGGGCTGATGGTGCCAGGCTGGCCTGGGAGCCCTAGGGTGTTCCCTCTAGTCTGTACTTCAGGCAGGTTCACAGCCCATGAAATAAGCAGTCATCTTACCTGGAGGGTGGGCCCCATGCCAGCCCCATCCCATGGCCTATCCACTGACCTGCGTAAAGTGGGAACCACTCAGACCCCAACTCTCCCCAATAAACCCTGCACCTGGGTCCCCCCAGGTTCATACTAGGAGTCTTGTCTTTTTTTTTTTTTTTTT